TTCACCTCTCAGCACCGACAGCCACGAAGTTGTTAATCAAAAGTTCGATATTATCTAAAGCAAGGGTCTCCAACCAGGGGCCAAATCCGGCCCGCCAGTGTCATCAGTCCGGCCCGCGACTGCGAATAGCTTATTGTTGCTGTAATAAGTTCGATAAAAAAAAAACACAGAATGATAATAACTCGGCTTTATTGACTTGCTAGGTAAAGCTTAATGGCAAGCGTAATACGCAGAAAATTTAACTTAAGCATAACAACTAGCAAATAATTAAAATGAATCCCACTAACATTATAGAGTAGTGAACATCCGGCGGTTACCCTCGGTAGTTATACCTACCTATTTCCGCTTTTAACCAATAGATGTCGTCAAGTGTCACGGTCGTATCGATAAACACAATAGTAATTGTAGTAATTGAACAAGCGAATTTAGCAAGCGTATGCTCGCTCAGAGCGCGTACTCGGCGATTAGTCTAGAAATTATAGATAACGGCAGAAAAATTAAAATGGTTTTGGCCCTTGGTACTTTCTGGAGTAAACTGTATGGCCCTAAGGCTGGAAAGTTTGGAGACCTCTGATCTAAAGGATAGAAATTTGTGGTTATGAATCTTGGCAGGGCATCTGTTGCGGAGTATTTAAATCGAATGCACTGAAGAGGATCCAGAAGAGAGATTCCTTAATGATTTCTTCCTTAATGATGCTCATTTTGTTTGTTGTTTCCTTAATGATGAGATTCCTTAATGATGTTGTGATTTTTGTTTGTTTTGTCGCTAAAAATGTTTCAAATTATGACAATAAATTTTTTTAAAGGATTTTATTTTTTCATTTTTATGAAAAAAAAATGACAAATTTAAATTTATCATTTTTTAAACCATAAAATTATTTATTGAATCCTTCTTTCATTTCCGAAATGGCAAGTTTTGCAAATTAGCGTGGCAAAATATTTGTTCTAAAACAAGTTTTTTTTAACTTGCTGTTTAGCATTGCAAAAATTGGCATATGCAAGGTTAATATCTTATTTCAAAATGAATAACTTTAATCGATTTCTATCCCAGAGGAGATAAGCAATTATTAATATCTTTAAAATCTCACCATTCACTGCTTTTCTTTCAATCCACTGTTATTTCAATAAAAATTTTGTAAGTATTTCATTTGAAAAGCAACTTCCTCCCTAACAAAAAGCAAATTAGTGGCTATAAGGAATATAGTAATTTGATACTGACTCCAAGAAATGTGTTTCTGAAACATTATTACAGATAATATTTTATATTTAATAATCTTTGCAATGGAGCTGTTGTTAAAGTCGAATTTTTATGCAGTATTTTGGATTAATTTAACAATATATTAGCTAATTCCGTTTATCATAAGATCTATGTAGAAAGGCTTGAAACATTTTGTAAGAATGTTGTTAAGAATTCTGTTAAGCATGTTAAGCAGAATTCTGTTTCATAAAAATATCTGGATAAAACATTTGTATACTTTTAAATATTGAAAGGTAAAAATAATAATAATAATAATAATAATAAATCATTTATAAAGAAGGTGATGAATTGTATTTAAACAAATTGTCAGTCTCCCGTAAATAAGAAAAAACATATTCAATAGAATTATAAAATGTTGACTTTGGATTTAATGAACGCCTGTCAACGAATTTTTTTAAAAGGGCTTCCACGAAATCTCATATAGAGAAAAATACTTTTTTCGCAAACTGTTTCTCGTTAAATGTAACTATGTCTATGAATACTAGTAGACTTTTTTCCATCATAAAAGGTGAAAAAAGCTTTTTTTATGAAAGAAGAAACGTATTTCAATGCACCTTTTTTTTTTCTTTATCTCACTGGAATAAATAATAAAATCCCTTTAATCTTGCATTTATTGATTTAAGGAGCAGAAAGTACAAGGGACAAAATATGTTTATTGTAATTTATAATAAATTACTTATATTTATTTTTTTTATTTTAATTTACTGTGACAAAGTTGCTGAGAAATAAATTAATTTTGTGGCATGAACTTTTCAAATACTACTGTTTTCAATACTACTGCTTGCTGAAACGTATAGAATGTTTTTTCTTTTCTAATGCAGCTGGCAAACACAGACATGGACGTCTTGGATGCCTTAAGGCAAGAGCTGCACAGACGTTACTCACTTTGCATTACCCAGGGGGTGCGTGTAACTGGAAGATAAGCCTCGGACGTGGAGTAACAAGGCCCCCGTAACGCTCTACGATTCTATTAGACCGGGACCTACGGTTTAAAGTGGATTCCGAACCACTACACACATCCATGGCACCGCTGGGACTCGAACCCGAAACCTGCGGTACCGAGCGCCAGAGCTCTAGCCACACGGCCTTTTAGGCCCCACGTATAGAATGTTGCAGAAGGCATTCTGTGAGCATTCCCATATCGGAAAGAAATGTTTATTTTACAAGTGGTATAAACAGTTAAAAAAAAGCAGAGAACGCGTTGAAGACGAAGAGCGCTCTTGTGGACCCACCACCTCAACCGACAAAGCTCACGTCCAAAAAATTAAAGATTTGGTGCTTGCAAACCGTCAGTTTACAATTAGAGACCTTGCTGATGATGCCGGAATTTCAAAAGGATCGGTCCATTCCATTTTGGGCCTCAAACGCGTAAAATTTCAATTGGTACCGAAAACACTGAATGCGCCAGCTCACACTGCATTGATTCTCCGTGACTTTTTCGCCAAAAATGGAACCCATATCGTTCCACAACCACCGTATTCACCTAATTTACTTTCGTCGTGTTACTTCTGGCTATTCCCTAAACTCAAAAGACCATTTCGGGGACACCGTTTTGAGTCGATTGAAGAGATTTAACGTGCCATCGGCGCGCGCTTTAAAGGCCATCCCTGCCGATGACTTTTTAGCATTCATTGAGGATTGGAAAAAAAGTTGGCATACGTGCATTGTGTCCAGAGAGGATTACTTTGAAGGCGATGAAATAAATAAGGAAGAATAAATAAAGAGGTTTTGAAAAACAAATTGGTCTTACTTATTGGGCACAGTGTTCTTCTTCTTCATTGCCTATCCCCAAAATCCAGCGGGGCTAGACTAGGTCCATCAATCTAAATATCCGAAGAAAGTCCAAGACCATCAACGGACTGTCAAGGAGATCCTGACATCTGAGCCCCAAGATGTGAGATGGCGAAGCCTACTCAGAGGAGCACTTGGTGCAAGTGTCGAAAGCTTTCAAACCATCTGAGAAAGTCATAGTTCTGAGGTGTCCACTCAGCAAACGGGTGATTGCAGTTTGTCCCTGCCTGTCACAATTAAGTGCCAAAGTACCTCCAGGTACTTTGGCACATAATTTTGGATTATATAGGATGATATGGCTTCAATAAGGTGATATCCATGACTTTAAGCTCTTTATTTTAAACATGGGTTCACTGAAACGATACACAAGCTACACAGGACAGACATTTACGGAGGCAAAATATACTTAAAAAATTACAAGTACGCATAAGTTCATTACCTGGTTTAAATTTTATTATCACCATTTCTGATTCTATAGGTGGCGCTAACAGTCCACTATAGTTAGAGTTAATACCATCCTATTTGGTTTGTTACAATTTTATAATTAAAGTTAACACACGTTGATTTTGAGATACTCTGGAAGAGTTGAAAAAAGAAATGTTCCAAAAAAGGACAAATGAAATAGAAGAAAGCAAATTTAAGAACAAACATTTTATTGTTCAAGAAAATAAGCACACCTTTTAAAACTAATAATAATTCCTAAAAAATGCTTGCTATATAATTGACTGAACGATTCGATTTATGGCTCTCGTTTATTTTTATTATGTGAAAGTTTTTATTTTACAAATTTCATTGCGTGGCAAACAACTATTATTCATTCGTTATAAATTAATCTTTTATTCAGGCTATTTCATAATAAATATTTATAATAAAAAGGCTTTTTTGTTCCTACTGTCTGGAATAAATTAACGACATTAGCATTAAAGCAATAGAGAGTTCTTGCTTGAGTGTTTCTTCAGTAAGAAATTCGCACAAAACCATTTAACTGAAGTTGAAATTCCGAAAAGTGTTCAGTTTGAATTAGAGGCTCTAAATAAATTAATAAATAAAATAGTAAAGATGCTTGTCCCTCTGCACCAGAAAACAAATGCTTTCAAAATTCTGTTTATGCTCATATGGTGTTTCATATTAAGATATTTTTTAATTAAATGCCGTTAATTGCTTCGAAACAATTTTCAACAATCAGTAAACAATCTTCAAAATCCCGTTCGTGCTCGTATCGTGTTTCTTATTTTTCAATTAAATGCCGTAAACTGCTTCGAAGTAGAAAACAATTTTCAACAACCAGAAAACAATCTTCAAAATGCTGTTCGTAATTTTAGTATGCAATAAATGTATCGTGTTTCATGTTAAGATAATTTTTAATTAAATGCCGTAAACTGCTTCGCAGTGGAGTCATTTTTAAATATCGGGATTACCCTTTTGCAATGCCCTTGGAATAAAGAATGATAATATCTGTAACACTAATCTTAGTTTAGATAGTGTTGTTTCAAAACAATGAAGAATATGCAAATTGCGAGAGATGGGTGATCACGAGATGCCCTTCCTCGATTGAGGAAGCGTCACCAAGGAGATAATAACCCTACAACGCAGTTTCTTTGCGACATCTCTTGCGATCTGCATATTTTACTGAATTACTATTATTATTATTATTATTGTTATTTTGATTTCTTTTTCGCATATTGTTGAATGATTAAAACAAGAAAAAAAAATGTTAGTTTAATTTTAAAAAAAAAAATCTTTAATAAATGCATCTTTTCGTGATATATAGTGTATTTAAATGTATCTTTCTGTAAAATGTATGGTTTAAATACAATTTTATTTCAGTTGGGGTGATTTAATTTCAAATAAAAGTAATTGAATGTTAGAAACGCTAATTTATGCTGTTTTTGCAACAAGGCTATGGACCAGAGAATTGCTGCGTATTTGGCACAAATAACAAAGTAAAGCCAACGGCCATACCATGCTGAATATATCGGTTCTCGTTAGATCACCGAAATCAAGCATCATTGGGCGGGATCTGTATGGGTGGGTGACCACCGTGTGCCGTTGGCATTCACAAATTTGGGACCTGAATGGCCGATTGTCTGTCGCTCGTTGCCACAGGTTTCGGGTTCGAATCCCGGCGGTGCCATGGATGTTTGTAGTGGTTCGGAATCCACTTTAAGCCGTAGGTCCCGGTCTCCTATGACTGTAAGAGCGTCACGGAGCAAAAGTCAGGCTTCTACCTACGGGTGCTCCATCCCAACAGAAGCTCAATCATGAGTACGTATGGGCTCGTGGGCTTGGCCAGCCAAGTGGGATAAGAAGCAACAACAACATAACAAAGTAAGGAAATCAGAAGAACAGAAATAAGGGGTTTCAATAATTACATGACTAGAGCCATAAAAAATGGTTAGGTGAGTTTACCTATATGCCCATACGGTAACAGCCAGCATAAAAATGAATTAAAATGCAAATAAGAATTTTAAAAATCAAAAATATCGAAATTTTGAAAAAAAAAAGTTGGAACAAATTGAAAAATTAAAAAAATTTGGAAAAATCAAGCAAAATCATACGTGCTCGATGTTTATTATTTCTCTTCTTCCCAGATTTATTTATTTGGGGGGGAACGTGGCTGAAAAGTAAAAAATTTGAATATGGGGCCTCCGTTTTAAATATCATAACACTAATATTTTATATTTTGGAAAGAAGTTAAATAAAAGCCGTTGAATTTTTTTTCTTATGAACGGCCATTAATCTATTTAGACAAAAGTAATTTAAAAGTATTTTTAAAAAAATTGTAAAGTGTTTATCAAATTATTTTATTCAAGCTATGAATGAACATTATACAATGCTTCCATTTTCTGTATGATTAAACTTTGTAAAATTTTTTCGACATGAGGGAAAAATTGGTCCAGAAAATAATAAATTGATCAACAAGAATTAAAAATTAAAGAAAAAATTCCTCATGAAAAGTAAAATTTTACAGTTGAAAAGATTTTTTGTTGGCGGGGGAAGGGGGGGGGCGGATTTATTAAATATGTCAGGAATATCAACAAGAGCAGTCTACAGCTTGACAAATTCTTTTAAAATAGTTATGGACTAATTTATAAGGGAAATAAATGAGCTTTAATAAAGTGATCTCGACTGGGCCTTGACATTCATTTTACACTATAAAATATTTTCAATTTTTTTAAATGCAGTAAAATACTTAATACTTTTAAAATCTGTCCAACCAAGCTTAATTAATTATGAATGAAACTGTTGTTGTTGTTTCTTATCCCACTTGGCTGGCCAAGCCCACGAGCCCATACGTACTCATGATTGAAGGGGAAGGAAGCAGCTTCTGTTGTGATGGAGCACCCGTACGTAGAAGTCTGACTTTGGCTCCGTCACGCTCTTACAGTCGTAGGAGATCGGGACCTACAGCTTAAAGTGGATTCCGAACCACTCCAAACATCCATGGCAATGCCGGGATTCGAACCCGAAACCTGTGGCACCGAGCGCCAGACACTCGGCCATTCAGGTCCCAAATGTGTGAACGCCAACGGCACGCGGTGTTCCCAGGTGGTCTCACCCACCCAAGCACCAATGATGCTTGACTTCGGTGATCTGAAGAGAACCGGTCTATTCAGCGTGGCACGGCCGTTGGCTATGAAGGAAATTACTAATGATACGGGTAGATAGATGTATAATTATTGTATTTTCTAGGACTAACGTATTAACATGGATACTTAAGTGTTAAAATCATTATTTTGTGCTTATCTGTTGTTGTTGTTTTAATGCAGCTGACACTACAGAGACCCTTATTTTTATGCCTTACGCAAGGGGTGCACCGCTGTTACTCATTCCTCTGATATAAAAAAAAAATCGTTGCACTTTTGTTACACTTTATTTAAATTTCTGCAATGAGAATAGATAATATCTCAAACAACCAAATGCTAGTGAAAAGCATTTGCTTATTACAAATAAAATTTGAGATTCAAAGGATAAATTGTTAGAAATGACCTCGCAATATTAATTTAAATTCTATAAGTTATTGTTAATCTTGCTTCCTTTTATTTTTTATCTATTGCTATTTGTTAAATTACTCAAAACGTATGCGCAGCTGTATTAATAATGTTTATAGTTACATTGTATTAGCAATTTTTCTGCCTGCTATAATTTTCGGATAATTATATATTTTAAACAAACGTTTTCCCTCAATGGATTTCTTCAGAATTTTATCAGGAAACAGCAATTTGATAAAAAAAAATGCTTTAAAAGATTTCTATCGTTTGATTTCGCTACTTCCCTCACGATGGCAGCTCCTTTTATAAATTGACTTCCTTTCTTTTTGAAGCGGTTTAAAGCATTACGCCAATTAAATTTTTCCTTAAATTTAATTGGCGCATAGATAAAATCTGCATAGATGCAATCATGATTTAATCTGAAAAATGCATAGATAAAATCTGAAAAAATATTAAATTTTTTTATGCATTTGAATAACCTCCATGACGTTTAAGGAATGCAATTTACAATACGATTCGAATGAGATTGCTTTCCTATTTAAATGCAAAAAATTCGAATTTTTGGGAGAAAAAAAATTGGTACAAATTGAAAAAGTTGCCAAACAAGCAAAATGAAACATGTTCCTTGTTTATTATTCCTCTTTTTCATACATTAAATTTTTTTTTGGGGGGAGGGGGGGAGCGGACATGGCTTAAAAGTTCAAAATATGAAAGTGGGGCTTTCAATTTAAATATTATAACACTAAAGATTTATATTTTGGAAAGAAGTTAAATAAAAGTTGTTGATTTTTTTTATGAACGGGAATTAATGTACTTAGACAAAAGTAGTGTAAACATTTTCTGTTTAAGATTCATGATACATGGTTTAGATTTTATAATAAATATCTTTCATTTCGCTTTTTCGATTTACTCTGTGTTTATCGTCATGCTAATAGTCATTATCCAACATTTACTCTGTGTTTACCATCGGCTAATAGTCACTATGCAACATTTACTCTGTGTTTATCATCGGCTAATAGTCATTATGCAACATTTTACTCTGTGTTTATCATCGGCTAATAGTCATTACCCAACATTTACTCTGTGTTTATCATCAGCTAATAGTCACTATACAACATTTACTCTGTGTTTACCATCGGCTAATAGTCATTACCCAACATTTACTCTGTGTTTATCATCCAATAGTCACTATTTTACTCTGTGTTTACCATCGGCTAATAGTCATTACCATCGGCATCAATAGTCATTTTACCTGTGTTTACAACATTTTTACTCTGTGTTTATCATCAGCTAATAGTCACTATACAACATTTACTCTGTGTTTACCATCGGCTAATAGTCACTATATGCAACATTTACTCTGTGTTTATCATCAGCTAATAGTCATTATCCAACATTTACTCTGTGTTTACCATCGGCTAATAGTCATTACCCAACATTTACTCTAATAGTCACTATACAACATTTACTCTGTGTTTACCATCGTAATAGTCACAACATTTACTCTGTGTTTACGGCTAATAGTCATTACCCAACATTTACTCTGTGTTTACCATCGGCTAATAGTCATTACCCAACATTTACTCTGCTAATAGTCATATACCCAACATTTACTCTGTGTTTACCATCGGCTAATAGTCATTACCCAACATTTACTCTGTGTTTATCATCGGCTAATAGTCATGATGCAATCACTATTCAGAAATACAAATTCTTATTTACACTTAATTTTCTTTCGATTAATTAGAAACAAATATAAGGTTTTTTCATGAGTGAAAGAAATTGGTTGAAAATGGGAGGTATAAAAGGGAGATATATAAATAATATATAAAAGGGAGATGTATAAATCTTTGAATAATACTGCACGACAATAATGACATTCAGTACACAAAAAACCTACTAGTTGTGGGGTCGCAATTCAGATGTAATGTCTTATATTCTAGTGACATTGGCTATACATACAAAAGATTGGCCAGCTTCTTTTAGTTACCGTCTATTAGTTACAATGAGATTTATTAGGTTAAACTTTTCTTGATTTCTGTAAATTAAATCCCAGAGACATGCATGTAAATAGAAAACAGTATAATCAATAAAAATTCTTCTTCCATTTTATGTAGCGATATTAATATAATGTATAGATGTTCTTGTGTTTCGGATGGTATTTCGGATAACTAAAACGGAACACAATTAAACTGTAATCCAGAGAAATGTATGTAAATAGAAAGCAGTATAATAAACAAAAACTTCCTTTCATTGTATGTAATGGTACTGACATAGAAAGTGTTTTTTAAATAATGATCTCTAACAATTATTTTTATTTGAATTGAAATTATTAACTCAAACTTTTTAATAATACGCATCTATATTTGGGAGTGCCTTCAATTCTTTGTTTTATTTTGTATTCTTGTCTTGTCAACAGAATTATAACAAAAATGTATTGCTCCTTATAAATGAAAATTTTACGTTTAATAAGAGCCTGCAAATGCCTATGGATAGATCCTATTAGAGAATATGTGAAGCCTTGCAGTTATGGCTTGCTGAGATAATGATACATGTAAGTAAAGATTTCAAATTCGCTTTCTTAAGCAACACTTCTCTAAATTGTGCTGCCTTCCCATTATAAGAAAAAGACAGCACAATTAAATCGTAACCCAGAGTAATATATACATGTAGGATTTGTTTGTGTGGTAATCAGCACGCGCCGACACATCACGGTTGCTTGTCTTTGACAGAGCCTGTTTACAAGGTGGGGGAGTATTCAACTTTGAACTCTGACCCCTGGAGAAGGGGCACAGACCCCGTAGATGAAGAAAGAGGAAAAAGAACAGCTGGCGGGAGCGAGATGGGTCAGGCTGCTTCAAGCAGCGAGAGAATAAGTTTATCCCTTAATTAATAACTAATGTAAATATCACTGTAAAATGTGTCATTAAATGGCTTTATTTAAAGTAATGTCCCGTTACTGCGTTTTGTATGTCAAATCCCCTAGACATCCTCCACAAAAGTCCAGCTATTGTTAGACTGGTAGAGAAGTCTAACAAAACTGTAGGTTCGGCCGGGATGAATCTATTGGAACCGGTTGGAACTCCACAAATATAATCAACAAAAACCTCCTTCGACTTTATTATTTTAATTTATAGATGTTCTTGTGTTTCGGATGGTTTGTCACAGCTCGGACGATGGGGTTTTGCTACTTGTGATGAATCAGCGTTTGAATCTGCACTTTACAATGCACTTATTTTTTTCCTGCGGCCTTGCGTGGATGATGTTTCTGTGCATATCAGGACAAGGAGGTTTGAATCCTTAAATTGCCTCACATTTATCGTTGAGAGTATCTATACAAAAAACAATTTAATGCAAAACATATGATACAATGCAGGATCTATGTTTTACTTAAGTTAATATTTGATGATAAATTTTTTAAATATTGGTTTTGATGGAGAATATTATAAAAATATGTAAATCTTTTATAACTCTTTTAATACCCTTATTACTAAATGCATCTTATTGTATACCATTAGTGTTTAAGTTCCAAGTGTAGTGCTACTCGCGTCCGTAGTATATCTTCAAGCTACATAGGCCTCCTGGATAGTGCTAAATGAATACCGCCGGTGCAGCCCTTGCTTATGGCATAAAGATAATTGTCTAAGTACATATTTACCAGCTGCATTAGAAAAAAATACATTTAACTTATTTTGATTGCCTAATTATTATTTGACCAACAATGCAACACAACCAGTGACAATGTGAACCACATCATTCATTGACATATATCATTCATTATTTAACTACAACGATGATTTTGATGCAGAGATTAAAATGAAATTTCGGAAATAAAACTGCTCTCTTTACTGTATGCATTTTTGGAACTGAATGGCAGAGTGGCTAGCGCTCTGGCTCTCGGTACCACAAGGTTTCGGGTTCGTGTTCCGGCGGTGCCATGGATGTAGTGGTTCGGAATCCACTTTAAACCGTAGGTCCCAGTCCTAATAGGATCGTAGAGCTTTGCAGGGGGCATTGTTACTCCGCGTCCGTATTTTCAAGTTACACGCGCCCTCTGGGTAATGCAAAGTGAGTAACGTCTGTGCAGCGCTTGCCTGAAGGCATCCGAGACCAAGCTGTCTAAGTGTGTTTGCCAGCTGTATTGGAACAAAAAAAAAACTGTATGCATTTTTTCTTATGCCTGATGAATCTAATTTTGCCCTGCAGAATTTTTCAACTATTCGCACGTTGTTGCTACTGTGCTTAATTAATAAACCACCTTTTTGTAGTCCGATTCCTTAGACCATTCTGAGTTGTTATATGATATTATGATTTTCTTTCTCTTATAATCCTTTGAAAAGTGAATTGAAAAACATAGAATTAAATTATATTATATAGCAACAATTATCTACGGATATTTTAAGCCAATGTTATCAGTGTAAATAGAAAAATAATATTACATGAAATATAATATTACTTGGATATTTAATTAAAAATGTTTCTTGATTAGTTTGATTTCAATTCAATTCCTTTTCTTTAAAATTTCTTTAAATTAAAAATGGTTAAAATAAACGCATTAACATGAACCTTTGGAAATCACTTATTATCATATATACAGTGAAATACAAGAAATGAAAAATTAAAAAGAAGATAAATGAAT